TTTTTTCACATAACATGTGGGATAAAAAAAAAAAAAAAAACCCCCAGGGGGGGGGGGGTTGAGCCGGGATGCTAGCATCATGGCCCAGAATCATCGTAGTCCAGATCCTAGTCAGGTGATCCTAAGAGCCAATCCAATCCAATTCCATGCTACAAAGTCTACAGATGAGGTGTGCTCCCTTAGTCTCATCTTGTTGCTTAGAGAGGCAACTAGGATACCCCTCGGTGTCACTGGACCACTCCAGACCCAAGTGTCTGTTTGAAGATAGCTTCAGAAGGTAGCCATGTTAATTTGCAGTAGAACAGCCAGATTGAAGTCCAGGAGCACCTCAGAGAACAACAAGGTCTTTGGGATATGAACTTCCATGACTCAAAGCTCCCTTCATCAGATATGAGTTGGAATGGAGATCTTTGAGGCCTTATATCCCAGTCAGAAGGGGGCAAGGGTGTTGCTAAGAAGAAACTCAGGATGCAGAGGTACAATGTACATGGTAATCAGCTTGATTAGAGCAAAGGGGAAATACTTGGGGGCCTAAAATTAGCATCGGAAGCTTATATCCAAATTATCTCTCTTTGCTATCTGCTGTACATGGACAGCTCTCGTACGGTAAAGTATAACTGATTCTGACAAACACTTCGACTCTGAAACCCGCACTGAACATTGTGCCTGGTATCTCAGCCCAATCCTTAGTACAGTCAGGGGAGGAATAAATATGTGGTTTGGAATGAATACTTGCTCTGCAGTATGCTCTGTAGTGAGAAATATTGCATTAACTCCTTGTTACATTCCACATTCTCTGTTTGGCCCTATATGGTCTTCTGTTGCTGCAGAGCTAGGGATGTCAGCCTCCAGGTGGGACCTCGGGATATCCAAAAATGACAACTCATCTCCAAACTACAAAGACCAGTTCCCCTGGAGAAACTGGATGCTTTGGACTCTGTGGCATCATACGTCATTGAAGTCCCTGTCCACCCCGGGCGCCATCCCTATCTCCAGGAGTTTCTCAACCTGGACCTGACAACCCTATGCAGAGCTGAATCTTCAGTTCCTCTTTTGCAGACTCAGGAATGATCAAGCGTTTGAACATTAAGAAGTCTGATAACTGAACTGCTTCTGCAATGTAAGGCATCAAGGAGTGTCCTTTTTGCTAACTATCCAAAATAGTTTTCTTCTCTTACATGTCCAATAGGAAGTCTTAAAATATAACTTCTGGAGGGTATTTTGGATTATGTACTTCTTTTCCTTACTCCACTAGAGTCTGGCATGCAGACTGCAGCACTCTGTACCACTCTGATTAAGGATTTGATTGCTCTTGAGAAGCAACAGTCTGGGGAAAACATACACTCATTAAAACAGTAGTTGTATGCACAATGAGGCATGGTCTCCTGCCTTGTGAATGTCTTTTAAAGTCTTATTTCCACCCAACGCCTTCTTAGGACCACTGCTGTCACCTGTTCAAGGCTCTCCTTCTGTTGCTTGAATTAATTTTGCCAGTTCACTCACTGCGCCATTTTGGGGAGAGCTGGAGGCTGACAGTCACTTTCAACTATATCCAGGGGTCATTTGGGGCCGGAGTGAGCCGGAGCAGCGCTCCGGCAGCCCAGGAGCAGGCACAAATAGCAGTGGCAGCAAGCCCTGGCCCCAGCTTCCAGTGGGCTTGTAGAGGAAGTGAAAAGAGAAGGGGTTTAAAGCAGCAGCACGATCTCGTATTGTATCCTATGGCCCCATAGAATACAATGGAAAGATCATGCCGCTGCTGCGGTTTGACTCTAGAGAGAAGGGGTTTAAACTTTAAACCCCTTCTCTTTTCGCTCCCCCCCCGCCTTGGCAGGCTGGCTGGGGAAGGGAAGGGGAGGCTTTTGAAGATGCCTCCCCCCCTTTTGCTTCCCCTTCTGACACACTTCCGGTGATGTCCGGGGGCGTGATGTATGCTAATGAGTTTTGCTAATAGGTATGCTAATGAGCTCCTGCACCTCTTTTTCTACGAAGTGACCCCTGACTATATCATTTACTGCCATGGCTTGTTGAGACCCCAGTGGGGCTGCTCTTTGAAATGTTTACCTTCAAAGGAACTCAGAACAGTGTACATGGGGTTATTCTATTGTTCCCTCTTCATAACAACCCCGTGAGATAAGGTAGGCTGCGAGACAGTGACTTGCTGAAAATGATCCCGCAAACCCCAGGACTAAACAGGCAATTGAATGGAGGTCACCTTAAAACCCAAGACTCTGACCACTATATCACACTGGCTTTCACACTCTTT